TAACTGCCTCTGCCTGCATGATAATCCCCACCTCGCCTCCTCTGCCAGCCAATTTGGTTCTGATTGATCAATTTCTAAGCCAATTAGCATCAATAGCTCTGCCTCCTAGGCAGCTAGTGGCTCCTCACAGTTGACCCAGATTTGGTGGATTGGTTAGTTGATATGCCAGTCAGTATCTCTGGGCCTATCAACAAGGCATGATCAGAAAGGCGGGGCTGATCAGCAGCCCAGGTGGAGGCCTGGAGAGAAACGGAATCCCAACTGCTGACCAGGCCTGAAAAGAAAGAGAGAGGCAAGTGCTGATCAACAGCTGCCAGAGAGGCTACGGATCAGACCTTGCTTCTCTCTTCAGGTCTCTCTCTGGGCCTGATTCGCAACCACCTCAGCAATCAGTGCTGGGTCACCATGCCTGCAGTGGTGGTAGTCAGAGTTGGGTCGCCACAGCAACCCAGCACTGACTGCATGACTGACTTCCAGTTGGTCGAGCCTCCCAGTTGTTGCAGATGTGATGGACCCAGGGTTATTATATATTAGGATTTTAAAGCTTAGAATTACTTTTAAAACCCCAAAACAACCTCAAGCTCTACTGTTTGTCTGTCAGTTTGTCAGACCATTGTCATATGGCCTACAACATGTGATCTCCTAACTCCCATCTTAGGCATTCTTTTTTTATTTATGTCTAATAAATGATAACTTGACCATGTCAAGTTATTGAAACAGACAAGTTAATATTATATGCCAAACATTTTCTGCTATATTAGTTGTAATCTGCAGGACCTCATTCTCTCCAGTCAAAAGTTTATCAGTCTTTTCACTTTGTGCAATATGAAGATATTTATATGTTTGGTGAGTTGATCTCTGCCCTTGGGAACATAAATTAGTATGATTGTTCCCAAAGGTTCTGTATCAATATGTACTAAAGCTTAAAAGTATTCATCCTCATGAGCATTCATTTCTTGATAGCCTAAAGAATATATTAACATATGCATCATGTTTGATGCATACGAATATTTGCCATGGTCGTGTTTATAAAGGAAAAGTGGTTGATATCATAAAATGTCTAATAAAAGGAAAATGGTAATAAAATAAATTCTGAGATAGTCATGTTATAAAATAACATTCAGCCATTTAAAAAAATAATGTTTTGTTGTGGGTTTTTAAAAAAAAAACAAAACTGAATTTAATCTAACCTTACCAAAGAATGTTGAGGGGTGTGATTAATTAAATATACTAGATACACTGTCAGGGCAACAATAAAAGTTATAAAAACAGAATTTAAGAAAAAGCCATGCCATAGCCAGTTGCTAAATAGTTAGAGCATTGGCCTACAGACTGAAGGCTCTCAAGTTCAATTCCAGGGAAGGGAGGATTATCTCAGTTGTAGGCTTGATCCCCAACCCCGGTCAGGGCACGTGCAGGAGGTAACTAATCAATGTATCTCTCTAATATTGATGTTTCTCTCTGCTTCTACCCTTCCTTTCCATTCTCTCTAAAAATTAATGAAAAAAATATCCTCAGATGAGGATTAACAACAAGAAAATAAAAATAAATGAAAAAATAAGTTTAAATATCTTCCCCTCCCCCCCAAAAAATAAATAGAATAAACTTGACTTAGACTTAGGAAAGAACAGAATGCCAGAATAAGCTTGGAAAAAAAAGTGAAAAATAAGACTTCAGAATAAACTCAATGTAGCAATTATGTAAATTGAATAGCAGCTTATTCTTCACCAAAAGTAGCATGATGTATAATAGCTATAGCTTTAATTCCACATAAATACAGCTGAAAAAACACTAAACTTTATAGTCACTTGCTGGATACCTGCATTCATTCAAAATATTTGCTTTGTTCATTAATAAAATCTGTTAATGCTATATTTATAACTGGTGTGTTTCTTTGAGTTTTGTTTTCTTTTTTCTCTCCCTAATAATTTAGCAATGGAGATGGGATTCCTTGATTACACCCTTCTTCTAGATGAATTTTTCAGAGGATTTGTGGCCACCTTTGACCATATGAGATCAACTGCTAAAAAATCTCCCTTTAACTATTTTGCCTTAGTTGGATTAGATTCCTGAGACAAGTTCCAAATATCCACAACTTTTTAAAATTACTACTGAGCAAAATAGGTAATATACAGGTTCTAAGATCTCATCTGGTTAACCATTAACTTCAATGGTAGAAAAATATGGGAAGCCCAGAATGTTGCTGGCAGGTCTCTCTTAAAAGGTTCATTTCACTCTGTCATGTGTGGGATTGGGATTCTTATGAAAACCCTATATTTCAATAGTCAAAGGAAGGCTCTTTCTAGGTAGAAAGATTAAATTTGAAGGAAAAACAAACAAACACCCAACTAAATGGACTGTTGGTGTATCTAAGATAAATATTTCTCAGGCAATAAATGCAAGAATGAATTGGATAGCCATAAATAATGAATTAATATACTGGATGAAGAGATTAAGAAACTGAAAAGTCTTTTTCCAGGTTTTCAATCCTTCCCTACTATTGTTCCTTCTGTGCCCTTTGTTTCCCTTTATTATTCCTTGCTTCAATCAGGGACCTATGAGGAGGGGGTAATAACCTATTAGGTGGATGGGCCCCAATAGCTATGGGCCCAGAGATTACTTCTATTTGGAAGCGGGAGAAATATCAGTCTTATTCAAATATCTTAATACAGGTTGTCCAAATCTCAATTTCAACTCTAAGACTCTAAGAAAATCAAACATAGAAAATACAGTTAAGGAGGCAGAAATGAAAGAACAAGGAGTTATTGGGAATTTAGATAAGAAATTATGCCTTAGGATGAAAGTGTTTGATTGACAAATGGCTGCCTTCATAACTTGCTAAAAAAAAAAAAAAAAAAAAAAAAAAAAAAAAAAGCGTTTTAAAAAAATCTTTCAGGCTACTAAATGAAATGGAAACCACAATGCCTTCCAAACCTTATTTTTCATCTCAACATGAAGAAAATCAGATCCATCTTTGGAGCTCCAAAGACTCAAATGCCTCTTAGAAGTTATCCAGTTACTACTGGGAAGACCAGAAATGGTTAAAAATCCATATGTCTTTTTATCAGCTGGTATTACCCATGTAAGAACTTTTTTTCAGTGCTCTAGGAAAGTCTGAAATTTTGCTGAGGTGCTTCATGGAGTGCTTTCAAACTATAGCCCTATGCAGGGGACTTACATTGGCTACTGCATAGACTTGCTTCTGGACAACTTTGCTTCATTAATGGAACAAGCAAGATGTGACTGTATTAGTTTTGTAGGGATGCTATAACAAAGTACCTCAAACTGGATAGCTCTAAACAATAGAAATTTATTTTCTTACCTTTTTGGAGAATAGAATTCTAAAATAAATGTGTCAGCAGGGTCAAGCTCTATCTGAGACTCAGTATAATCCTTATCACTTCTTAAATTCTGATAATGGCTATAAATCCTGGTGCTCTTGGCTTGCAGCTGCATCATTTCAATTTCTGCCTCTATCCCCACTATTAGGATTATAGGGCAATACAATCCTTAATAGCCATTTGTAAGCTTCTGGCCACATGAGACAAAAACCAGGAAAAGTTTGCTGGACACCAGGAGTCAGACCATGTAAGAAATTGAACTGTCCTAAAGACACCTGATTGAATACCTGCAATCCATACACATTATAAACCCACTGACTCAGCCCTCCTGACGACAAACATTTCCAACCAGTAACTGCATATAAGGATGAAACTCCAACCCTTACATAAAAGAATGAAGCCCACTTAAAAGCCTCTAGGGCAGCTACTGCTAGAAGACTCCCATGACAGGATAAACCGGTCTTGGAAAGGGCAAGATTGCAATAAGCAGCCCACTGGTTGCAAGCAAATGTCCAAGTAACTGAGGCACATTATGAAAAGCACACACTCTCCCAAACCCCTGCCCCAAACACCCTACCCTGTAGGATTTTGTCTTGGGACTATGAGTCTCAGCATTGCTAATTCTGTCATTTTCAAGGGGGAGATAGCCTGGCTGGTCATGACACATTTTACAGGAAAATCCCAGTGCTGAGTCCGACCAGCCTATATTAGTAGCGAGGACGCTCCCACTTATCCTTAGCCACCCAGGGACTGGGTTGCTTACACTGAACCATTCTATTGGGGGACGCCTCTTAAAATAGTTCTCAGAACACGCAAGGGGAGCAGCAGCTAGATAAAAATGCTGGTCCTGGGTTTCTCCCTCTCACTATGTTCACAACTCTTCCTCCCTGCAAATGCTCTTTTCATAATAACACTACAGCAACTCAATCTCAGCCAGTCCCCAGGACTCACCTCTGGCTTGCCTCTTAAAGAATCTTAAGACCCTCAAGTTATGAGATGAAATTAGACCCAAATGCCTCATTTTCTTTTTTTCTTTTTTTTAACATTTCAGTTATTTAATCGGGTTCGTATAAGAAATTCAGAATACCAGTTTGTGAAGATAAAGCCCATTGGTGAGAGCAAACGTAGAGCGAAAGTAGCCCTGGAGCTGAGGGACAGCTTTGATTTTTGGCAGAATTTGAGAGTCCACAGCTTTCTGGTCAACCTTGCGCTGTTCTGTAATCTCGTATTTCTCCTTCTCTGTGTCGAAGATCTCACCCTCCTGGTGTTTGGGCTTGCGCAGCTTCTTCTTCTTGAAGTAAGCATCGGTGAGATGTTTGGGGATTTTCACACCACTGATATCTACTTTGGTGGAGATGGCGATGACAAATTTCTGGTGTGTTCTACGAAGAGGAACTCGATTGAGGGCCAGAGGTCCAGTCACAAGTAGCAAGCCACTGCTCAGCTGCTTCAGGAAAACCACCTTCTTGCCTCTGTGGCGCCCAGTGAGGATGATCTGAACGGTCCCAGGAGTGATGCTGGCCCGCAATCTCCTCACATGCTGTCTGAAGGACTTCTTGCCATGGCTCAACAGCTTTCGAGGCACATCTTCAGTAGGATAATATCTAGGCATTTTGCGGAGTTTAACCACTCGGGTACCACCATTCTTGTCGCCACCAACTAGTTTGTGACAGTAGCAAGGACATTTTCCTTCTTTTTCTTTTCAATCCTGGATTTAGGGGCGGAATACTTCCTCTTGTACATGGCCTTTCGAGAATACATAGCCGACGGGGAATATCTGCCGATTCCTCTGACGAGGACAGGGTTTCGGCTGCAGTGCGGCTTCCCCTTCTTAGGGGCCTTAACCTTGCCGCTGGCATCAGCCTTCTTCTTGGCTTCAGGTTTCTTCTCCTTAGTGTTTGGCTTCTTCTCCTTAGCATCAGGCTTCTTCTCTTTAGTATCCGGCTTCTCGGTTTTCTTTTCACCCGCCATCTTGCAAGATGGGAAAGAGCCCAAATGCCTCATTTTCTATTGCAATGCAGCATGGCAACAATATAAATTAGACAATCAAGAGATCTGGCTCATTGCCCTAACCAGTTTGGCTCAGTTGATAGAGCGTCGGCCTGCGGACTAAAGAGTCCCAGTTTGATTCCAGTCAAGGGCATGTATCTTGGTTGTGGGAACATCCCCTGTAGAGTTGTTCAGGAGTCAGCTAATTGATGTTTCTCTCTCATCGATGTTTCTAGATCTCTCTCTCCCTTCTCTCTCTTTCTCTCTCTCTCTCTCTCTCTCTCTCTCTCTCTCTCTCTCTCTCTCTCTCTCTCTCTCTCTCTCTCTCCCTCTCTCTTCCTCTCCATATAAAAAAAATCAATAAAAGAAATCTTGCCCCAGAATGGCACTCTTAATTATAACACCATTCTCCAATTGGACTTAAACTGCTGCCACCTAGGCAAATGTTCTAATATTCCCTATGTTCAGGCCTTCTTTGAGCTCCACCACCACCGCAACTCTGCTCCTCCTGTTCTATCCTTTATGCCTTCACCTCCAGGCCTCTAAAACGATGAGGAACTCCTAATTTAGCCTTATCACTCTCTCCCAAAGAGCAAGCAGCTGCCTTTGAACCTCCTTTTCACTACAAAACTGCAAATGCTTACTTAACAGTCCTGCTACTAGCAGATTTAGAACTCATCATCCCCCAAGCCTTAACGTGTTATCTCAAAGGAAAGAATGTGGCAGTTTTAAATCCAAGCAACTGAAGACCAAGGAAGAGGCTGTGTGGCCTGCTCCCACTCCCTCCTGCCTTTTCTCCAGCCTCATATGCTTATACATAATTTTCCGAAGTCTTTGGTAACTTAAAAACTTTGGAGCATTGTGGGGTTAAAGGATAAACATCTAGATCCTTTAAAATAACATGAAATAAAAAATAAAGATAAATAAACTAACATGAAATACATAAACATTGATTGTCAGACACTTTTCAGTTCACTTTAGTTTTATTACAGAAAATCTACAAAGTAAAATTGGAACTATTGATGTAATGTCGTATGTTTTGTTGAAAATGGGTTTCTTGAAAGTAAGAGTATGTTTAAAGTGTGTTCATAAATGTCAATCTAAGAAATGCTGATTGTTCACCTTTTGGTTTTCATTGGAAAAAGGGTTCCTAAGAATTAAAAATTCAAACTAAATTGGAAATTTATATGAATTTAATGATAAAAGGCATATAATGTAAAGATACATTTTTATAGGAAAAGAATTGAAATTCTGTTATTCAAATTATGGTTATTTCTGAGTAGGCAAAATGTTTGTAAAATTTTAAGTTTAAAGAAAGACCCCATCCTCCACCTAATTTATCTCTGGTGGATATAGGGTTGGTTTCACTACACTTTCTCTTGCTCTTATCAAGGTAGGATAAACCTACCTGTCCAGCTATGCACTAAGTCCTTAATCAAGACGCATCCTATCAATGCAGAAATGAAAGTTAAACCTTCCCTCTGAAGACGGAGTGACCCAGCCATGCCACTGTCCCCATGCAACACCTGGGCGACAGGGTCCAGTGAGTCAGGATCTAATCACCCCTGGTGTCTGACGGGACCCCTTATCTCCTAGTATTTCTAGCAACCCTCTCTCATCATGTCACATCTTATGTTACTGGGGTTTCTGACTTTTCAATATCCCAAAGCAATCCCACCCAGGCTCTCTCCTGTTGCTTAAGTCCTTAAATTGGAGCCTAGACTTTATTTCCACTATTCATGAACAGTCCCTGATACTATCATTGAAAGTTTCAATAGGTCTTCCTGCTTGGTATTGAGGAACTTGTATCTCCTGTTCTAGCCTTCTTAAAGGTCATCAAAAGCAAAGGAAAAATCTCATGTCTTCTCTACAAAAATTTACAATTTAAATCGTGTATTTGATCTTTGTGTATTTGTATGTTAAATGCAATATGTTTTCTGCCTCCAGATGGCACCACTAGGGTATATTTCTGTATTGGCCTATAGAAATTAAATACTTATATAAGTTACATAGAATCCTATGGTCTAGACAAAATATTTAATGTTAAAAACTGGTTTAAGATTAAAGTTATTACCATAAAGATATACATTTGTTTCACCGAGATTTACAAAATATTTATAATATAATATTTTGGTTAAGTATATATGACAACCTCACCTAAGTTTAAATTTCAAAATATTTTTTAACAAAGAAATGACTTTGAATTATTCCAATGGGCCCTGAAATACCTCAAAGATTCATTCTCTCTTCTAAGTTTTTAAACTAATTAGGCCTATTTAATACACTTGAAAATTACATGGGAAACTTTGCCAAATAAGAGTATACATATACTTTAAGCCCAGGGAAGAAGGCTTCACAGCGGAATTTTACCAAATATTCGAGGAAAAACTAAAACCTATCCTCCTCAGACTATTACAAAAAATTCAAGAGGAAGGAACACTTCCAAACTCCTTCTATGAAGCCAGCATCACCTTAATACCAAAACCAGATAAAGACATCACAATAAAAGAGAATTATAGGCCAACATCCATTATGAACATATGCCAAAATCCTCAACAAAATTCTAGGAAATTGGATTCAGCAGTACAACAGAAAGATCATATACCATAACCAAGTAGGATTTATCTCAGTGATGCAAGCATGGTACAATATCCACAAATCAAAAAATGTGATATATCACCTAATTGAATTGAGGGAGAAATATTACATAGTAATATCAATTGATGCAGAAAAAACATTTGCCAAAATCCAACATCCATTTTTGATAAAAACTCTCAGCAAGATGGGAATAAAAGGATCATATCTCAACATAATAAAATCTATATATGATAAATTCACAGCAAAGATCATACTCAATGGGCAAAATTAAAACCATTTCCCCTAAGAACAGGAACAAGATATGGATGTTGGATTTTGACAAATGTTTTTTCTGCATCAATTGATATGACTATGTAATTTTTCTCCCTGAATTCAATGTGAAACCATCTCACCACTCCTGTTTGACATTGTACTGGAAATATTAGCCATTGCAATTAGACAAGAAGAAGAAATAAAAGGCATCAAAATTGGAGGGGGGAGGAAGTAAAACTGTCATTCACAAATGACATGATACTGTACATAGAAAACCATAAAGATTCCCTCAAAAAAACTATTAGACTTAATAAATAAATTTGGCAATGTAGCAGGATACAAAATTAATGCCAAGAAATCTATGGCATTTCTATACACCAATAGTGAACTTACAGAAACAGACTAAAAAAACAATCCCATTTACCATCATACCAAAAAAATTAAGATACCTAGGAATAAACTTAACTAAGGAGGTAAAAGGCCTGTACTCGGAAAACTACACAACACTGAAAAAAAGATAGAGGAAGATGTAAACAGATGAAAGAACATACCATGTTCATGGATTGGTAGAATCAACATCATTAAGATGTCCATACTTCCCAAAGCAATTTATATGTTCAATGCACTCCCCATTAAAATACCAATAGCATATTTCACTGACCTAGAAAGAACTCTCCAAAAATTCATTTGGAACAATAAAAGGCCCTGAATAGCTACGGCAATCCTGAGAAAGAAGAGTAAAGTAGGAGGGATCTTAATACCAGATTTCAAGCTGTATTACAAAGCCACTGTTCTCAAAACATCCTGGTACTGGCACAAGAACAGACATATAGAACAATGAAGTAGATTAGAGAACCCAGATATCGACCCAAACCATTATGCTCAATTAATATTTGACAAAGGAGGCATGAACATACAATTGAATCAAGACAGTCTCTTCGCCAAAACCAGTTTGGCTCAGTGGATAGAGCATCAACCTGTGGACTGGAGGATCCCAGGTTTGATTCTGGTCAAGGACACGTACCTTGGTTGTGGGTACATCCCAACTGGGGAGTGTACAGGAGGCAACTGATGGATGTTTCTGTCTCATCCATGTTTCTAACTCTCTATCTCTCTCCCTTCCTTTCTGTAAAAAACCAATAAAATATATATATATTTTTTAAAGACAGTCTCTTTAATAAATGGTGTTGGAAAAATTGGACAGATACATGCAAAAAATGAAACTAGTCTGCCAACTTACTTCATACACAAAAATAAACCCAAAATAGATAAAGGACTTAAACATGACAAGAAACCATAAAAATACTAGAGAAATCCACAGGCAGAGAAATCTCAGACATATGCCAAAGCAATTTTTTCACCAATACCTCTCGTAGGGAAATGGAAACTAAAGAGGAAATAAAAAAATGTGACTACATCAAAATAAAAAGCTTTTGCATAGCAAAAGACACAATAAAAAAGAAAAACAAGAAATGCCACTGTATGGAAGAACATATTTGAAAATGTTATCACTAATAAAGGTTTAATCTCCAACATTTACAGAGAACTCATACAACTTAATAAAGGGAAGATAAATGATCTAGTAAAAAAAAAAGGGGGGGGGGGAATGGACCTAAATAGAATCTTTTTGAAAGAAGACAGAAGGAAGGCCAAGAATTATATCAAAACATACTCACTGTCACGAAACATCCAAGAAATGCAAATCAAAATGATAATGTGATACCATCTCACACCTATCAGAATGGCTATCATTAACAAATCAACAAATGATAAATGCTGGCAAGGATGTGGAGAAAAAGGAACCCTCCTGCACTGCTGATGGGAATGCAGACTGGTTCAGTCACTGTGGAGAACAGTATGGATTTTCTGCAAAAAAACTAAAAATGGAACTCCCATTTGACCCAGTAATCCCACTTTTAGAAATATATCCCAAGAAAGTAGAAACACGAATCAGAAAGGATATATGCACCCTTATGTTCATAGCAGCACAATTCACCATAGCTAAGATTTGGAAACAGTCTAAATGCTCATCAGCATATGAGTGGATTAGAAAACTATAGTATATCTAAAGGATGGAATACTAGGCTGCTATAAAAAGAAGGGACTCTTACCATTTGCAGCAGCATGGATGG